GGAAGAGGAGGCTCAGAGATCTGGCTAACCCTTCTGCATCACTTTACTGCTTTGTGTAAGCTGGAAGAGGAGGCTCAGAGATCTGGCTAACCCTTCTGCATCACTTTACTGTTTTGTATAAGCTGGAAGTCCAACTGGAGAAGAGAAAATACCTGATCCTGAAATCTGGAGACTCCTCTCACCTCCCTCATCTCCCAGGGATGAATGGCATCTCTTCAAGTCTCACACAATCCCCCCATGGCAGGTCAGCAGTCTAAGAAGAAGGGAAAGTGAATTAAAGATGGCTGCAAATCCTCTGTCACTTCTCCCATCAAAAAGTGAAATCTATTGCCCTTCCTTTTGAATAATGAGAGTTGGTCCTGTGACTCACTATGACCACTTCCAAGGTTAGGTCTTAAGAGACATGCAGTCTTTGGTTTTGTGTGCTTGGCACACTTCCTCTTGGAACTCAGCCACCATATGGCATAAGAAGACACAAAGAACAGAACCATATTGCTTCCCACATTCTTCAGCAGCCCCATTTGGGCCCTTAGCTGGCAGCCAACACCAACTGCAAGCCATGTGAGGGAGTCAACTGGGCTGTCCCATCCCATTCAATAACATCAAAAGCAGAAGAACTGACCAGTTGAGCCCAGGCAACCCCAGAATCGTGAAAGATGATAAATGGTGGTGGTGGTGATTTTATTTTCAACTACTAAGCTTGAAAGTAATCTGTTCACATCAACAGATAAGCGAAACAGTCTGTTTACATAGGAAAATTCTCTCTTAGACAGAAAAGATCTAAAAAATGTTGCATACATGATGCATCTGGCTCTGATGTGATGTGGCCAGATGAGAGCTCTCCGCTAATGGGGTCCCTTGTTTGCTTCTCGGGGAGGACATCTTTTAGAGGGCATCCCTAGGCATGCAGAAGGGATATCTGTGGCCTTATTAGAGTACAGTACATTTCTTTTTTTCCACAGCATTCCTAGAACACTTTCATTTGTGAATGCACAAATTACCTAGGTCTCCATGCATCTAATGACTGAAGCCAGGGAACAGAGCTATCTAGCCCAGAATCCAGGAGGAGACAGTCTTGGAATTGATGACCAATGAGCTAAACGGAGGTATGGAAAAAGCAGGAGCTGTCTCTTTCCTGAACACCCAATTTTTAAAAATTGTTAAATTGAGATGTAAGGAAAGCCTCATTCTCCTTGGAAAGTTACTGCACCTATTCCTCATTAAATTTTTGTGAGGGTTAAATGTGAAGATATATGCAAATTTCTTAGCACAGTTCCTGTATGAATTAGGTGTTCAATAAACAAATATCCTTTCCGAATTTGTAGTGATTTTTGTTTCTGCATTAAAATTAGTGGTGACTCTATAATAGGTTTCACTCTGAAAAGGCAGCTAATTCCAATGTGCTATATTAGGTGAGCATATTTAAGAGTTACATTCAGATCTGTTGTTTTGACCTCAGATAGTATCTGTGGAGCCACTGTTAAATCAAAGCAATCTTCATAAGGTTATGAGATCAGATAGATGACCTTCGTCCATGAAGCTTTCTGCCTGATATTCCCTGAAAAGACAAGTAAAGACTGTTCTTCAAACTGTGCTGGTATAATAACGTTTTTCAGCCTGACCTCTGGCAAAAGGCAATATGTCTGCTAGCTGCTGGAATACACGAATCTTTCCATCAAGTGTAAATGGATGGGAGGTCTCAGATCCATTTACACCTGATGAAAAGGCTTGCTTACCCCACTCTGGTGTTTATGGCCTTGTGTTGCATGTATATGTTTTCCTAAAGATGTGTTCAATCAAGCTCTCAAAAACTTTCCTGACTTTGGATCAATTTCCATAGCGATTTGCCAGGCTGCTGAGTTGCCCAGAAGACCAAACACCCTTGCATTCACCTAGCCATCCAAATCAGAACTCTAGCAAGTTGTTGAATTCTAGTTTTGAAAAGAAAACTTATTTGGGGGTGGTTTAGGAAGGCAAAGTGAGAGCTGCAGTTCTTTTTCTTGCAGGAGACACAACCTAACATTACTCTTTTCCCCAAAGAGTTAGAAGAGATGAGGCTGAGACACTAAGGAGGGACAGCATTTCTATTTCTATGGCTTCCTTAAGGCAACAGAGGAAGCTTAGCGGCCACAGGGGTCTAGTTAATGAGCGGGTTATACAATATTCATTGTGTTGAGTTTAAGTCTTCAAACAGAACGTCTAATTGCAAAAAGAAAAAAGGAAGCTCAATTACAGATGTTAAGACAACAAAGCTCAGAAATAACTCCCTCTGTTGATGAAACTGTCCTCTCCCGGCTTCCTCCATGAACTGCACATTGACAGAGGCACAATGAGTCCCTGTCTTCATCAGGTATTCTCATTAGGTCTGCTCTGTCTGGGACACTCTCCAGGGCCCAAGGAGGGCCACTGAGAGGTCTGGGGTGATGGTCTTCTCAGAGGACTGTTTTCTTGCTACCCACAGAAGGAGTGATCCAGTTGTACTCTGCTTGAACCAAAACAAAACTGTTCTCCCCAATCTTCCTGATGTGCACAGTCTCACCACTGTCGCTCCCGGCAACAGCATCTGAAGCGGGCTCGCCGAAGGACACTTCTGTCTGCTGGTGGCAATACTGGGTGTGCAGGTAGCGAAGGCCAGCAACCAGGGCCATGCCCAGGATGGCTGACAGGCAAAGCAGAACTCCCAGCTGGGGAGTTCTGAGCTGGATCCCCAGAGGGGCCTGGGCCCCCTCTAGCCCAGCGTCAGGCCGTGAGTTGGTCTGCTGAGGGTATCCCACTCCACCCTCTCCATCTCCCTTCCCTGCTCTGAGCTCCTCGTGCTTTGACTGAAGTAAGAAGCTGGCAGAGGCCCTGGATGCCTCTGACTGGTCACCAGTAGCAGGTAGCCCAGAAGTACCAGAGGTCTGGAGGACAGCGGTTGGGTTGCTTGCCCCTGCCCCATTCCCTGTGAAAGTTTCAGAGGACCAGAGGCGCCGGGGATGGGTAAGCTGGACGGTGTACAGAGGAGGCTGTGTCACGGTCCTGTTAGAGGCCTTCATCTTGTCCTAGAAAAACAAAGGAAAAAAAGAGTCAAAGGTACTGGTCTTCCTCCTAAGCTGCCACTGAACTTTGTAACTAACTGGGGTTCCTTAAAGACTCCCAGGTGGCAGCTGAAAACCCAATCTCTTTCTTGCTACTAAAGGAGCTCAAAGTAAAATGCCCAACTAGATACAAATGCACTTGTTATTGATGGGGATGGGGTGGCTAATGGAAACCCCACAGAGAACAAGGAAGCCAGTTACAAGAACAAGCTAAGGATCCTTTAAGAGGCTTCCAAACCAAAATATCAATGGGTGATTGCATCATCTTCTATGGCTGAAAGCTTCTAGTGTGTCTTTTTATGATAGGACCCATGCAAGAGGGACCATTTAACCTCACTGTAGGTTCTGATAAATGTAAGTAAGAATATTACACCATGTTTTATTTTGTGTTCCTTCCAAGACTTCAAAGGAATAGTAAATCAGTGGGCATTTATATTTTATATTGCCCATTGATCTAACTTCTGGGACCATACATGGTGCTTTGAGGTCAATGTTATGAAGGAGGGATGGAGGAGGAGAGAAGAGAGTAATTATTAACTATGGCTACGTGAGAAGACAAATCACTAAAACATCAATTTCTACAATTGCCGATCACTTCAGAGACACTGCATATAATGGAAAGGTATTGATTAGTAGAAAGACACTGTGTGTATATTATACTTTGCCTTCTTCTCTCCGACTTTATCTATCAATCAGTCTAGTAGCTCTGATTTTCCAGCCTGCAACTGGCCAGTCTAGGATCAAAACATCAGTCACAAGCCCTCTTCACAGTTTAGGTTCTTACCTGTTCACCCCCAACTGAGGATAGGCAAGTTTCCAGTGAATCAAAGCTGGGAACATCCTGAGATCTAAAGGGAAGAATGGAAGGGCTGAAAACAGGTCATTAAGTTTTGGACCAAAAAGCAGTGTTTCCTACCATTGTTGTGTATGCAGATGGCATCAGATCCACTTGAAAAACTTCTGAGTTTGGAGTTGGGAACCACAGAGAAGAGGAAGGGGAGAGATAAGTGAGAATGGCAGCAAAGAACTCACCAAATGCTATCGCTTATTATTTTATATAAAATATACATTTCTATATTGTTATTATAAATATATTTAAAATATAAAAAGTCACTTTTAAAGTTTTGTTTTATTTATAACAGCATCTCAGAGATCTCACCCCATCCAAGAGAATAATTTTCCTGGGTAATTATCATACCCAGTCCTTCAGACCAGTGGCCCTGTTACATCCTGGGTTTTTCACACACTTAAGAATAAATATGGCTGAGATCTTCTTTGTCAGACTCCAAATGATGCACTCCAGTGTTCAGCCTAGTCCCATCACCTGTCCTGAATGGCCCACCCATCACCCTTACCTGTGATGGATGCTAAGTCTGGAAGCAAAGCTCTCTGAGGAGACTCTCTTGAGGGCCACGAGCCTCTCCAGCCTGTGGACCTCCAGGGACGGCTCTAGAGTCGGATTGCTGTCCATGCTGAGTTGCTGGTCGATGCTGCCTTCAGTGGCTGTGTGTGAAGATGGTTGGGACAGAGTCTCTGCATCCGCAGGAAACTTTGTCACCCAAATACTGGCAGGAACAGGATCTAGGTTGTCCTCCTCTGCAGCTCCAGGAAGGGCAACAGCAAAGGCATGTGTGTGCTTCTGTGGAAGAGTGATGGGGGCCCTGGGAGCTAAGCAGAGGCCCAAAGACAGTGCAGAGAGAGTGAGAGCATTTTCCCCGTATCGATTGGTACAAACAGTTATGATCGGGGTAAACAGCAGTGACTCTAATGTTCCTCAAGGAGAGACCATTAAGTGTAAGGCACTTAAAAGTGTCAGCATACAGATGACCTGCCTGATCACACAAGCCCCTGACCACGCAAGGGCTTATATCTTTTTAGAGAGTGAGTCCCTGGCCTGTCTGGGCTTGTACCTTCTTAACAGCCACCATTCAGGGAACGCAGAATGCACTGTGACCACCGTATTTATTTCACCTCTACCAAAAACTGCTTCTAGCTAGAAAAAAGAGTGGAATCCCACAAATCAGACTTTTCAAAGCCCTAGATCTTTCTTGCCCTATTATTAACACTCAAAGTTTCTTTCCCTGGTGATAATAACTTGAACATCTGCTATGAGCAGAGACGAGATCACTGCCCTCCACTGCCCTCCACCATCTCATTTCCCATTTGTGACTGGCTAACCTGACAGCCCAGAGCATGAGAAAGAGCTTCACATGGAGCAGCAAGCAAGCAAGTGCAGGTTGTAGAGTCAGACTCTTATCTGGGTTCAGTCCTCCACTAATTCCTGGCTTTGGGGAAGTCCTCCCAGAGCATTAGTTTCTTCATTTGCAAAATGAGGCCAGCATAGAATTGCTGAGGGATTGACACGAACTCATTAATGGGGAAGCGTGAAGCAGGTGCCTGGCACACAGGCACAGGCAACATGCACAGAGGGTTTACCACAATGAAGATGAGGATGGCACGATGGCATTGACCAAAACAGTGTTGGCAGAAGTTTCTCTGGCAAGGGCTCCAGGTTCTTTCATGGGGGTGAAGGAGGTACCCCTTTGCTCCAATGTTTTTAACACTCACAAATGTTGAAGTGAAGAACAAAGCAGCCTAGCCCAGACATACAAAACATGGCAAACTGATAGTTTCAAATTCCTTCTTGAACTCTAAGAGCATTTGGATATTTCCTGCAGACCCACTGTGTGCTGGGCATTGTTAGAGTTGTTGGAGATGCAAACATAATGCAGACTTGTAACTGGTGTCCCTGAACTCAAAACTGGGAAGAGACACCCTTACATGTCAAACTACCTAAAGTAATACAAGAGGGCGGGCGCTCACGCCTGTAATCCCAGCACTTTGGCAGACCATGGCAAGTAGATCACCTAAGGTCAGGAGTTCAAGACCAGCCTGGTCAACATGGGGAAACTGTGTCTCTCTACTAAAAATACCAAAGTTAGCAGGATGCAGTGGCGCATGCCTGTAATTCCAAGCTAGTTGGGAGGCTGAGGCAGGAGAATCATTTGAACCCTGGAGGTGGAGGTTGCAGTGAGCTGAGACTGCACCACTGTACTCCAGCCTGGGTAACAGAGAGAGACTGTGTCTCAAAATTAATTAATGAATTAATTAATCAATTAATACCAGAGCTAAGGAAGCAATTATACTTGCCACTATGGTCTTAATGTGTCCCCCTCAAAATTCACATGTTGAAATCAAACTCCCAATGCAATAGTGTAAAGAGGTGGGGTTTTTAGCAGGTACTTAAGTCATGAGGGTGGAGCCCTCATGAATGGGATTAGTGGCCTTATAAAAGGGGACTGAGGGAGCTTGTTCACCCCTTCCACCATGTGAAGACACAGCAAGAACGTGCCATTGTTGAGGCACAGATCATCCCTCCCTCACCAGACACTTAATCTGTTGGTGCCTTCATCTTGGACTTCCCAACCTCCAGAATGTAGGCAATATGTTTCTATTGTTTATAAATTATTCAGTCTAGGATGTTTTGTTATAGCAGCTGGAATAGACTAAGGCACTTGCCTACCAGGAAATATCAGGAAAAGTTTCACAAAGGAGATATTTGAACTGTACTTTGAAAGATGCAGAGAACTGTCATGTGGAACAGTCCAGTTTGAGGAAGTGTCAGAAGGCAAGGGACTGAAATATAAAAGTAGACCATACCTAATGGGGTGGAGGAGGACCCAAAGTGTCTTGGTCTATTGGGAGATAAGTTTCAGATATACAATATACTACTTCCCCAATTTTGAAAATTTATAATTTATACTTGCCTACTGAATCCTTTGTACAGTTAAGAAATCTATTTCACTTTATTAGATGAAATAAGGTGAATAGGTTTCTTAACTGTACAAAGATAAACTTCCCAGGATACATACACACACACACACATGCACATACATACACACATGCACGCACATGCATACATACACGTTTCTTTTTCCTTTGGGAATCACTAGGGTTTGGGTACTGGAATGAATGGGGAAGACAGGCCAGGGCCAGAAGGAGAGGAATGTGGGCAATGTAATGAGGAGGTTACCCTGTAAACTGCTTGGGCTGGAAGCTGTGGCCCCTAGCGGACAAGGTTTCCAGCAGAGTCAGGCATAGAAAGGCCCAAGGCTCCACATGACACTTCTTCCTGAAACTTCAGTTTTATTCATATTCATGTCCAAACAAACGTGGTTATACTTGGGATTAAAACATGACATTTGCATCATTCATAAAATAAAACATGAGATTTCAAACATATGTCAGGGGTGCAGGGTCTCCTCCAGGCCACACTCTCAGGCTCTGAGATCTTTACTCTGCTTTTAGGAGTGTCTTGGTGGGAGGGTTGGAGGAGTTGTGCTGGGTAATGGGAGAAGACAAAGGTTTTGGGGCAAAGACAGAGAATGGAGGGTGGTCCCCACTGTTTCTGTACCTGGGTCTGCTCGACTGAGAAGAGGCAGGGATTCTGACTGGATTCTGGCCTTAACATATTAGCAAAGAATAAAGGAAAGAATAAAGGAAGAGGAGAACGAATGGATTAAGGGTAGAGTCTTGTGTGCATGTGCCTGGATGCTTTTACGAGTGCTTGCGTTCATAGAACTTAACTAGAAACAAGCAATAAAAAGGAGTTCCATGCCACCAGGGATTTTCAGGTAGGTCAAACAGCCTCTAGCTGGCTAGAGGTTTTCCTTTGTTTTGTTTCTTTTCTTTTCTTTTTTCAGGAGTTCATGGACTAATGGAATATAAAGCCATGTAGTGAGCAAGGAAAAATCCCTTCCCATTGAAACAGTGATTCCTGATTCTGTTCTCCAACCCAGGTTGCAAAGAGCCATCTACCTACCGTGAAAAGTTAACAATGAAAACTGGATGCGTTTTTATGAGAAAAGACGAAGAAAAGCTCATTTCTTTTTTGTGCTCCCTGTGTAGCTTCAGGGCACTAAGGAAAACAGTGGAAATATTGTGAGGACTAGTAAATGTGGGGGAAGAGGTGTATGCTGTTTTTTGGTATTGCAGCACAGCTCTCACTGTCCACCCCGGGGCCTGACTTAATGTGTTAGGTTGAGCCAGACAAAGTGTGTTTGCTGCAACAAACAAAGCAACTGCAAGCGTTCCCTCCCTCTCACTGCTGCGTTATCACATCCCCAGGAACTGCTGCAGTTGGCCACGGCAGGTGTTTATTACTTGTTTTGCAGGGACAGGAAACTGGCAGTAGTGACTTTTAAGTGAAAATAGATAACTGTAAAAATAATGATGACAACCAGCCTGGCAAATACAATGACAAGCTGTACCTGGGGCAGCTCCTTCAACATCACCCAGCCTCTGGTGAAGGGTTGGCATCAGTAATCTGGGCTCCATGCGGTCATCAGAATGGGCGCTGCTATGTGTCTGTTGGGACACAACAGATGATTCGATCCTTGCCCAGTAAACGAAATATGACTGGACTACTGATAAACTGTGGAAAGAGCAAGAGCAGAGTGGTTCACGGATTTAGTTTCCTTTAAATAATAACTCAGGCCAGCCTCATAGAAAAGAGAGAACACACTAACAGATAAACAGGAACAAAACTAAATAAATAGAAGAATGAGAGAGAGATTATGTTATTACTTCAAGAATGAAAAGTGACTTCATTCTTTTTAAAAACAAAAACCCCACAGTTGCAAATAATTAGAATGAGAGAGGATATGAAAAAATCAATGGTCTTCTTGAATAAATAGTCACTAAAAATCTCATTTTAACTAAAAAGTTTCTCCTTAAACTGTTTAGACTCCAACAAAAGGTTTTATTGTCAATGTTATTATTAGCCATTCCTGATATACTGTTATTACATCATGATTTGAAGATCTCATAATTCTGTTGTATAATTGTACATGTCTATTGTCATTGTAGATTCTATTGGAAATTAGAGACAAATCCTTAATATTCTAAATAATTTTTTGAAAAATAATTCTTCAGTAAAAAATCAGTTTCACAAACATTATGCCATTTGTTCTTCCAAATATTTCAGTAAAGGAAGGATTATTGGCAAGCATCATTTTTCCCACTTTAAGTATTCAGGAGGCAGTCATAACAAGGCGATTAATTTGGCCGAGGTCACCTAGAGGCTCGAGACTCAGTGAGAGTCATAGTTCAGGCCCCCAACATGCGGTTTCCAGACTTGGCGGACGTTATCGTGCACGAGGGTTCCCAGAGGTGGGAGATCACAGGGCGACTTAGGACAGGCATCTCATCAAGTGACTTAGCTCGTTTTGTTCTGTCAAATGGAGATCATAGCTTCTACACTACTTGCTATGCGGCATGCAGCATCTATGATGGTAAATTCAAAAATAGGAATGGAGGTGCTTTGAGAAAAAAAGGTGACTGTACAGATTTAAGGACTTCAAGTGTCAGACACCCTCTGTACTGCATAAGAACCAAAGCCAAGGGCAGAAGCTGGGCACACCCACGGGTAAGCGGGCCCTGGGCCTTCCAAAGAGGAAAAATCCTAAGGCATGTGTTTCCCTTCTTACTGTCCTGTCTGCTGCCCTGTGCCACCAGGAAGTGGGGGAGAAGGGACACCACAGGCTGGGGCCACCAACCTCCTCTCCCACTGCTCCCCAGAGCAGAGGGGAGTCCTGGAGGTAAGCACGTGCCCTGGATGACCTCTGCCTGCAGACGCACTCTCCTTCATATTTAGGAGGGTGTGGGGAAAAGAAACAGAAACACACACCGTTTCCTGAAAGAAAAAAATTATCTTTCTTGGTAAATGCAAGTGTCTGAAAAGAATGACAAAACAAGCACCTCATTCTGAGTAGTAATGATGCTTTTGAAGTGCTTACTGTTGCCAGGAACTGTTCTGAGCAAACATAGGCTCTCTCATCCATACACAACCCTCTGAGGCAGGTGCTGTGGTTATGCCCATTTATAGACAACAAGCCAAGGCATAGAGCCTCAAGAGGCTTTTCCTGGGCCCAGGGACGTGTCCATTTGTCCATCTGCCTGTCTCTTTCTTGGCTCTCTCCTGCCTTCCCACCGCCAGCCCTTCTGTCCTCTGGTCAGAAATTCCTGGAGAGGTTGGCCAAGATTTGCCTGTGCTTGGGGAGGCAGGGAGATAATATGGATAGTGCTGAAGGGGTGAGTTTGGGGGCAACATTTTTTTTAGTTCCCCTCTGCATAGGCTCTCCAGTTGAGGCAGCATCCATGACCCTGTCCTTGCTATAAGGTGGCCACATAAGCAGGGGGAAAGGGAATATGAAGGCAGGGCAAAGAGAAGCTCCCCTCTCTTCAAAGGTAAAGGCTCAGTTTCTAAGAAACAGCACTTCACTCTCTTACAGGAACTTAATATCCCCCACAGGCTGGGCAGGGGCCTTCCACAGGAACGACAGGTTTCTCTTCAGGGACTTGTCAGAATGGGTGACTGCATCAGCCTCTTGAAAACAAGTCATCAGTTTGGAATGAGGAGGAATGAAAACAAAAGTCCCAGCGATTTGATGATCAGACACTCTTCGAGCCTGAAGGAGAAATCCCATGAAATCACGACTGCTTCTCACCGTCACTGCAACAAAAACACCCATTCAACATGAACATGTGTGACTTAGTTCCATTTGGTGGTTTTATGCAGGTTTTTTCAAAACTAAAAGCTTAAGATCAACCCCTAAAAAGTGAACAATTCACTGGGGTAGGGGGGAGAAGTTGAAGTCCTATTTCACACCAAAATAAATTCCATTTGGATCAAAGGTATGCGAAAATGAAATAAAATATAACTAGAAACATTTTTTTCTTTTTATAAATACTGGATTTAGAAATACCTCTCTAAGCAAGACCCAGCTGCCATAAAGGAAAAGATGAGTAAAGTGTGCTATATTTTTTTAAAATATGAGTTTAGGTGAACTTAGGACAGATGATTAAAAAAATTATTTTCCAAAGAAAAGTATTTGTAAGACATAAAGCAGACAAATAATCAGAGTCATGGTGAATCCATAAAAAGATGACTCCCTCAAAATAATGAAAGGATACAAACAGAAAATAAAACAAGCTTAGTAATAATTCTTTTTTTTTTTTGAGACAGAGTCTCGCTCTATCGCCAGGCTGCAGTGCAATGGCGCGATCCCAGGTCACTACAACCTCTGTCTCCCAGGTTCAAGTGATTCTCCTGCCTCAGCCTCTCAAGTAGCTGGGAGTACAGGCATGCACCACCACGCCCAGATAATTTTTGTATTTTTAGTAGAGACGAGGGTTTCATCATGTTGGCCAGGATGGTCTCGACCTCTTGACTTCGTGATCTGCCCTCCCCAGCCTCCCAAAGTGCTGGGATTACAGGTGTGAGCCACCACACCTGGCTGCTCAGTAATGTCTTCAAAGCAATTATAAATGAGATACTATTTTACACCTTTCATATTAGCAAATGTTAAAATGTGTGGTTGTAAACAGTCTTGATAAGACTATGGAAAAACTAGGACATTCATTCACTAGTGCTGGGACTATAAACCATCCAACTTTTTGTGGTGTAACCTGACAACATCTTCCACATTTAAAATGCAAGTACCCCTCTGATACATGCTACCTTATCAGTTAGCCCTGAAAACATAGTAAAATAAGCCAGACCGAAGATAACAAATATTGCATGATTCTACTTCTGTGAGGTACCCAGAGCAGTCGGCTTGACAGAGACAGAAAGAAGATTTAAAGTTGGCTGGGGCTAGGCACAGGGAAGGATGGCCAGTACAGAGTGTCCATCTGGGATGATGGAAAAGTTCTGGAAATGGATAGTGATGATGGCTGTACAACATTGTGAATGCACTTGATGCCACTGAGCTGTATACAGCTATAATGGTAAAGTTTATATGTATATAAACACAATAAAAGAAATGCCCTCCAAAAATCATTACTCTTTGATCTAGAAATTTTGCAGCTAAGAATTTTCCCCACTGACAAACTTGAACAAATAAATATGGCAAACACTGATGTCCAATACTCAACAGCGATTGTCTGCTTATTCCCTGCTAGCAGAACAGATGGTTCTGCTAACAGAACCCAGATGCTACATTCATGTGGCAAGTGGAGACCACCTGTCTTCAGGGAAGTTAGGCTTCTCCTTTTCTCCAGGGGATGAACCGTGATTAGACTGAAACCAGTGTTGGTGATTCTGTTCCCCTTCACCAGACAGAATTCTGGCCAATGAGGCCAAATTTGCTGAGAGAACAGCTAATGTCTAAGGATCAGTCTTTTCACGTAAGGCCTTTATTCCAGCTGTCATCCCAGTGCAAGGCCTAAAACCACGGCGCTCATCCTGAGACTGTGCGACGTCAAAGGAATGAAAACCCAACTCACTAATGACGGCAGGAAAATGGAAAAATCTTAGGATCTCGATGATGTATTGAATGGCTTCACACAATACAGAAACTGTGCCTCCAGACTTAAGAGAGAAAATTAAATGTTTTTACTCGTCAAGTTTCCGTTAATCATTTTTCTGATACTTGCAGCTAAAACAATCCCGATGCATATGATGAGCAGAGACATATGAATAAAGATGTCCATCAAAACTGTTTATGAAAAAAAATTTTAAAAGTAAATTCCCGTAAATAAGAAACTGGTTAAATCAATCATGTGACCTCTAGACAATGGACTGTCATGAAATCATTAAAAGCAAGCTCTGTGGCTGGGCACGGTAGCTCATGCCTGTAATCCCAGCACTTTGGGAGGCCGAGGCGGGCGGATCATGAGGTCAGGAGATCAAGACCACCCTGGCTAACACGTTGAAATCCCATCTCTACTAAAAATACAAAAAAAAAACATTAGCCAGATGTGGTGGCAGGCACCTGTAGTGCCAGCTACTGGGGAGGCTGAGGCAGGAGAATGGTGTGAACCTGGGAGGCGGAGCTTGCAGTGAGCTGAGATCGCGCCACTGCACTCCAGCCTAGGGGACAGAGTGAGACTCTGTCTCAAAAAAAAAAAAAAAACCAAGCTCTGTATCCAATAAAAGATATCAATCTGATTGTTAGGTAAAAAAAATATAAACATTACACAGACATTTAATTTGTGTCTGCTTAAGATTATATTAATTTGAGATCTCACTCACATATGCTTGTATGCATGGAAAACTTCTGAAAAGACGTGCAAGAAACTTAACAAGAGTTACCTCTGGAGAATCAAATTGAGTGTTCAGAGCAAGAGAAGGAAAAGTACTTTTAATTTTCTACTTTTTGATACTATTTTAACATTTTAAAAGCATGTAATATCTTTAAGCTATTTAAAAATTTTTTTAAAAAATTAGCCACTCATGTTCAAGGGAATGAGTGGCTAAAACCAGGGTCAGACCTTTATAAATTTGCTAAATGCAGCTTGGTGTCTAGGATTGTTTCATTTTCCACACATTTGAACTTTTATTAATAAACATTTGAACAAATATTTAGAACTATTGAATACCAGGCACTATGCTAGGTGTTGAGTATATATCTATGAGCAGGATATCATGGCCCTTACCTTCAAGGACTCACAGATCTCGGTAAGAAAACAGTATACTTACAACGTAAGTGAGTAATACCTGACTCTCACTGAATCCATGAGGCGCTCCCTTAAGTTATTTATTACATATGCTGTCTTGGTTCCAGTTACAATCCAATTATGTTTCCCTCAGGATACCTTCAGAATTTAGGGATCACAATATTTGTAGTTATTTCCACAGATTTTTCTCCCTGACATAGCATTTTTTGGTTTTGGGTTTTGTTTGTTTGTTTGTTTTTGAGACAGAGTCTCACTTTGTCACTGTCACCCAGGCTGGAGTGCAGTTGTGCTATCTCAGTTCACTGCAACTTCTGCCTCCTAGGCTCAAGCAATCCTCCCACCTCAGCCTCTAGCATAGCTGGGACCACAGGGTGCAAGCCACCATGCCCGGCTAATTTCTGTATTTTTTTTTTTTTGTAGAGATGGGGTTTTGCCATGTTGCCCAGGCTGGTCTCAAACTCCTGAGCTCAAGTGATCCACCCACCTTGGCCTCCCAAAGTGCTGGGATTACAGGCATGAGCCACCAAGCCTAGCTGACATAGTGTTTTGATTCTTACCATTGTTATTCCCCTAGCCACAGAACACTAGGATACTGACATACTAATCCCTTCATGCTGGGAGGGGCTGGATGCATACTAGGGTGGTTGGAGACCCCAAAGAAGTGGCCTTCCTTGGGGAACCTCTTGCATTTGCCCCGGGGTGCTACATACACACTCGCTTTCTGTGTCATGATGCGACAAAGTTTGGGAAGCTCTGTTACAATAGCCTTAATTCAGTATATTGGGGAGTATATTGATGTTCAACTCATGTACTATTCACCCATGTTTTTTCACACTTCTCAACAGAATGAAACGAATGGGTAAAACAATATTTATAGAGTAAATTTCATTTTTGTTTGTCACCTTTAGTTCCCGTCAAAAGAATCAGTAAAAATCAAGAGGGGTTTAGGGGAAAAGTTGCTGATGGAGCTCGCCTTGGGTGTGCAGTTTTCTGCCTACACTTAGTGGCATCTGAAGCATCTGTAGTTTCCTCCTCTGTTGTCCCTCACTGCCACTTCCAAGCTTGGTCCAAGGTAAGCTATGGACTCTGGAGAGTGTGTGTGAGTTTGGGGAGGGGGAGGTGGGCATGGAAGTAGAAACACCCCTGGGAGGACAACCCAAAACTGATAAGTGCCCTGCCCCTGCATCCTCCTGAGAGATGATTCAGAGGCGTTTCACATGGCTTCTCAGAGGGTCCCCACCGGAATGCACCTCGGGTGCCCACAGCAGCGACCTGCTCAGTTGCACGCCCTTGATTATCGTCTCCTCTTGCCCAGCTCCCTTTCCCTCTTCCTCACCTGTGTTTCCTGGGATGATCTCTCACATAAACCACCTGCGCTTATGTGCTTTCCCTGCTTTTATAGGCACCTAAACTAAAAGAGCAGGAAATGATTTTTTCATCCCCTAATATTTTAATTTAAAAAAATATCAAATTGTATATATTTAAAGTGTACAACATGATGTTTTGATATACTTACACATAGTGAAATGGTTACTAGAGTCAAGCTAATGAAAATATCCATCTTCTCACCAAAGTGTCTGTTGATGGATGAATTTTAGTTTTAAATTATGAGAAAAAAGTATATTTCACACCCATAGGTGATACATGAAGGTTGTTCAGAGTAACTATATTTGTGTCCGTAATAAGATACATTTATATCTTATTATAAGGACAAAATAATTTTCTATAATAATGATATTTGTGCCTTCTTATACAGATCATAATCAATGCAGAGTTTAGTTATGTGGCTTTTATGACACAAATATTTTATGCTTATTTTTAAGCTGATAATTGCTTCTTAAGATTAAGCCAGGCTACAATCCCAGCACTTTGGGAGGCTGAATCAGGAGGTTCACTTGAGCCCAGGAGTTCGAGACCAGACTGGGCAACATACCAAGACTCTGTCTCTAAAAAAAAAAAAAATACAAAAAATTAGCATGGCACAGTGGCATGTGCCTGTAGTCCCATCTTCTTGGGAGCCTGAGGTGGGAGGACCACTTGAGCCCAGGAGTTCCAGACCAGCCTGGGCAACATAATGAGACTCCATCTCTACAAAAAAAAAAAAAAAAATGGATTAAGTCAAATTTAGTCCAGGAAGCTTCTCACCGGGACAAACACAAACCGGAAGATCCATGGGGGCTCTGGGGCTCCTCGGAGTCTCTCAAAGCCTCTCCGGTACATACCTGGAATCTTGTCACCTGGTGCATAGGAAGACCTGCGGGTGTGGATGGTGATGTGGTGGGTGTCCTGGTGCTGAGGCTGGGCTTGAATGTGCTTGGGCTGCATGTCCTCACAGGCCACCGTGCTGGCACCATGGGAAAAGGCAGATGAGCAGGAAACCAGGCAGAGGGTGGTGCAAGCCCAGCCCACGAGGGCAGCCCGCATCCTCATCCTGCCCTCTCCTGTATCATGACAAACAGCAGCTTCAGTCCAGATGCTACTGAGGAAAATGACATAAAGTCGTCTTGGGATGTGACTAACCTGAACCCCACACTGCCTCTGTACCCGAGATGCTTTTAGTGCAGCCTCCCAGGATTGCTAATGCTCAAGGCCAAGATCAAAAAGAAATGCCAGGCTAAAGGAAGTGTTTCATTTCCAAACACCTTTTTAAAAACTTCTATTCTTATAATTTTCTCGTAAGACCAGACTGCTTTTATGTTATTGTTGTGCAAAAGAGAGGCTTTAATTATGGAATCAAAGAAATAAAACCAGAAAATGTTTGCATCCTAGCGTGAGCTCCTTACAAGCTGACTGGTACCCAAGGGCAGCGTAAGCTCTGATACATTATTGCTGAAGTAGACACCCAATATACCACTATGGTCAGGAGGCACGGCATGGGGTGGCTTGGCTGAGCGTCTTATCTCTGTTACAACTGAAAATTACCAAGCTAAGTGCTACAAAACATCTACCAACTATCAATCATTTAGAGGTGACTGTTAAGTTGGCAATGCTTTGATATCTCTTTGTCCTTTCTTTGGCTGTTTTTAGCTATATCCTAGAAGATGAGCAGAGAAAGAAGATGAGCAGAGAAAGAAATACTCAATTTATTCTATACCTTCTTAAACATACTGATAAAAATGTTGGCTGAGGAATAGAACACAATGATTCAATAAAATAGCATTTATAGAGTAAATTTTACTTTTGTTTACTACCTCTAATTCCCATCAAGAGGAAGAATTAAAATTTGGCAATGTAAAAGAAGTTGACAAAAATAAAATGAGAGATAGCAAACAAGGCAGATGAATGCCTACATAAATATTTAGGATTATCACAGGCATTTTTTAACAGTGCTGTTTTAGGCCGGGTGTGGTGGTTCACGCTTGTAATCCTAGCACTTTGGGAGGCCGAGGCGGGTGGACTGCCTGAGCACAGGAGTTCAAGACCAGCCTGGGCAATAAGGTGAAACCCTGTCTCTACTAAAATACAAAAAACTAGCTGGGCGTGGTGGCATGTGCCTATAGCCACAGCTACTCGGGAGGCTGAGGCAGGAGAATTGCTTGAACCTGGGAGACGGAGGTTGCAGTGAGCTGAGATCGTGCCATTGCACTCCAGTCTGGGCAACAGAGCAAGACTCCATTTCCAAAAACAACAACAACAACAACAAAACCAGTTGTTTCTGTTTTTTTTTTTTTTTTTTTATAGTTCTGTACACAGGCATTTTAGAAGTTTGGCTAATATTTTGACCTAAGGAGCAATGCAAGGCAAAAAAAAAAAAAAAATGCCCTCCCCTGTAGTCAGCTGGTTTTAAAAGGTAAAAATTAAATCCTGAAAATGTAGTGAAACTAGCTATCAAAACCATAGACTAAGGAAATAATCCATAAACCAAATAATCAAGTATCCTCCACTCCTATTGTCTCTTCACACACAACCACCTTTTACATTCACAAGCTAAAAGAAGACAGGAATATGATCTATACCTCAAATTTCTTAGATTTAAGAGTCCTTCAGACAATGCCTTTCTTTTCTAAGTTTGTTTTCTATGAAGCACCAAAGTCACACATCTCCATACTACAGGGAACCATTGCTAGGGCTTCTCAGACACATTAGGAGATAATGAAGATGAACTGTAAAAGCATTTTCTCAGTCAAGGGGGCTCAGGGCCCTTCTCATTTTCTTTCACAAGGGTCACATAGAAAATGCCCCTCGAATGCTGGGCATGGTGGTGCGCACCTCTGGTTCCAGCTGCTCGGGAGGCTGAGGCAGGAGGATCACTTGAATCCAGGAGGTTGAGGCTGCAGTGAGCTATAATCACATCACTACACTTCGGCCTGGGCACAGAGCAAGACCCTGCCTCTGAAAAGAAGAGAAAGAAATGAAATGAAAATGCTCCTCAAGCCCTTGCTGATGGCAAGTGGTCTACTTTCCAAAGGCAGATCAGACACAGGTGCCTACAAGGGAAGGGGAGTGAGTGCCTCGTCTCGCAGACTGCAGCCACAGCCCCACCTCCCACCCTCCTGCCTTAGGTTTCACCGTGTCCTCTTTCCCACCAGCATCTTGTCTACCTGAACGCTGAAGAACATCCACTTGGAGCTGAGCACAGTGGCTCACACCTGTAATCCCAGCATTTTGGGAGGGTGAGGCAGGAAGATCACTTGAAGCCAGAAGTTCAAAACCAGCCTGTGCATCATAGGGAGACCCCGTCTCTACAAAAATAAATAAATAAAAAGAAAACATCCACTTACCTAGGAACACACTTTTCTTTAGGCTTGATAGAACGGCTGCCTCCCTCAGAGTTGCAAACACATCCCTTACACAAAAGTATTTTCTTCTCCTTTCAGTTTTTCCTCTAATGGGGAGAGTAACAGCTGTTACCACTAATCCTCAGCATCTCCAGGAACTGTCCCTCAGTGTCCAAATCCAGCCTAAATCGTATTAGCGCACACGCACACACACACACACGGTTTACAGTCGCATCATTGTTCAAACCTGTGTGAAGAACAAGAAAGAACCGGAACTGGTTTTGCATAGGACTAACACTGACATCCCTGGCAGAAGCCAGATGCCTCCATCTTGATCTCCCTGCCAAGGGGAGAATGTTTGAATGAAATGCGTCTCGGCATTCTTGGTTTCTTGAGTCAGCGTGGACTGAAGTTACTCTTGGTGAAGTAGAATTGATGTGTTAGCCCAAGAGCAACGTTTGGTACAAAAAAATAACACATGGCATAGGCACCTCCTGTATCAACTGCCTAAAAGCTGGAGTTCACATTTGCATGCATCTAAGAATCTGCTGAGACACCTGATAATACCACAGAGCCTATAGATCAGTGGTCCTCAAAGTGTGGTCCCCAGAGTGCAACACCAGCATCACCTAGAAGCTTGCAACATCAACAGTGAAGATAAAGAAAGAGGAATGGACTCAGGAGATCAGGTGGAGGTAGGATTAGGTGGCTGTTTGAATGCAAGGTGTCTGAGAGAATCCTAGGATTGATAGTCCTGGGTGATGTGGAGTAGGGGGCTGCAGAGAGAGCAATGTCCTGACTGTTAGGCCTTGTCTCCACTCAGAAAAGCCTAAAGATATGAGTGACTGAATAGGCAAGGCACTGGCTTAGGGACCAGGTTGCTAAGCCTTTCGTTGCAAGTGTAGATGAGACTATCTATCCTATAAACACCAAGGGAAGGTGGGCTTCCTTGGCCTAGGACTCCAGTATTCCCCACACCCAGAACAAAATAAAACAAATTCAGTCTGGTTTCTCTAAGCCTCTATCCCACTAGGATGGAGGAAATCTCAATCTCCCACTGAGTCATGAGAAATTCTGGGAGGTCTAGAAAATTAGGGTACGTTCCTTCCATGGCTGCTGTTATGATAGTTTTCAGAGCTCATGTGGTCACTTGAAGACTGTTAGTTGGAAGGCTTCTATGCAAAAAACGGGCTCAGGTCTTCAGCAAGGCTGTGGCCTGGGTGCTGACAGCTCAGCCTGCCAGGTGCACCCTGTGGCCTTCCCCTGCTGAGGTTCTTCCCACTCCCTCCACTGGGTCCTGACACAGATCTCTGCCCCTAGCAGGAGAGTGGCTAACCTCTTCTCCACTCCCCTCTGCTCCTGTCTCAGTCTTAGAGACAAAAGTGTCCCTCTTCTCCTTTTTATTAAACCTCACCCCTTTACCTTGGGCCACTTGGCATAATCCACCTACCACAGATAGAGGGGTAATCTCCAACACCTCTGCTTTGGCCCTGAACCACAAACTCCCCGGATACAGGGATTCTCAAAAGGCCCAACTACCAATTAGAATGAGGAGGGGAGTGCAAAGGTAGAGAGAGTGCACCTATGTGGCTCAATAAATAATCCTGCCATTTGCTCATGTAATATTTCTTGTTGAAAACAGGAGGACACCTTATCTTAGACATGGCCTTATCCTGCCCACCACACCCACAGCCTCTGCTGAGCCAGCAGCCCATCTTATGCCACTCTCCCCACAAAGCTGATTGTACCAGGGTGGGTACTCATCACAGAGGAGGGCTCTGCTGACTCAGGGCTGAGCCAGAAACTCTCCCTGGGAATCTGACCGAGAACACATAGAAGGCTACTCTATACCAGCGCTGGTCAACAGAAATAGAATGCAAGTCACACAAGCAATTTAAAATTTTCTAGTCCGGGCAGAGTGGCTCATGCCTGTAATCTCAGCACTTTGGGAGGCTGAGACGGGCAGATCACCTCAGGTCAGGGGTTCAAGACCAGCCTGGCCAACAGGGTGAAACCCCGTCTCTACCAAAAAATACAAAAATTAGCTAGGCATGGTGGCACATGCCTGTAGTTCTAGCTAGTCGGGAGGCTAAGGCAGGAAAATTGCTTGAACCTGGGAGGTGGAGGTTGCAGTGAGCTGGGATTGCGCCATTGCGCTCCAGCCTGGGTGACAGAGTGAGACCCTATCTCTAAAACAAACAACAAAAAATACTGGACTAGCCTTATTTTTAAAAAACATGAAAAGGAACAAATGACATTTGCTTTAATAATAAATTTAGTCAATTCAATATATTGAAAACATTTCACATGCAATCAGCATATAAAAAAAGATATTTTGCATTCTTTTTTCACAGTGAGTCTTTGATATCCAGTGGTATTTTACACTTACAGCACATCTCAATTCAGACTAGACCCATCTCTAGTGCTCAGGAGCCACATGTGGTAAGCTGCTACCATATCTATATGAAGGAAGGTGGTTGAGCCACAGGTTGTGGTGTGGGCTCAGATCTGAGGGCCATATTGTACACGTGCAGGATGTGTAAGAAGCACTGAGGGGATAGGATGGTAACTAAACATAACAGCATATTTATACAGTGCTTGCATAGTACCACACACTATTCTAGTCAGCTAGTTGGCAAATTACCTCATCGACACAGCAACACAATGAGGTCTGCACTATTATTATCTCATTTTATTGATAAGGAAACTGAG